GATCGTTGACCTTCCATTATTGCTATGAAACAACCTTCATTAAAGAAAAGTAGCTATTAATAATCAGAAATGGTATTAACATTTAGCATGTGATTTCTATGGTTTGAAGTAGTAATAATTAGATAATTAATTTTTTTTATAATAATCAGAATCTAATTGGAAATTAAAGCACTAATTCTATACAAAAGGATTTATCTAAACCACTGAACTTTAAATCAAAAAGTACATGCAGCAGCAGATATACCATCTACGACTACTTAATTTCTAAAGGTCAATGGAAACCAATATGATTCAGAGGTACATTTCTCCCTTTAGATTGACATGTGCAATCTAAAAGAATAAACATGGATAACATCAAAGCATTAACATAGGATTTTGATCAAACAGTCACATTCTACATTCATTAGATAATTAATGTGCTCAACTATCATACAAAAATGGACTTAAGAATGAACTTGCACTTGCTGTAAAATTGCAACTCTAGAGCCTGAAACTTACGAGACTGTTTCATAACCTTGAAAATTAAAGAGAAATAAAATCTACATATATGAATGATAATTAAAATTTGCAGTATTAGAAAAAAGATACTTTCGAGAAACGACGAGCACGACTGAAGTGGCTATACATACAAATCTATTTACAGGGCAACTTCTTCGGTTTTCTCAAGGGAACAAACTTTGCTCCAATTTCTAGTGCAATGGGAGGACCGAAGATAAAACCCCGAGCTTCTATACCTATGATGGTTCAAGCTTTCTTATTACCATATATAAATCAAAGATACACAAGCAGGAAAACAAAACTGAATGCAGAAAAATCAAACAAAATTATAATTACATACCTTCGGAAATCCAATAGACCTCGACGAATTGATTTGAGAGAAAGAGAGGGGGGAGGCGGCAACACAAAGGTATATTGGATTTTAATTTGCTGGAAACCCTAAAACATGGATTAACAAAGTCAAACTAATTAACACCAAGTACGATATAAACATTATAATACTGTATTAATCTCCTTTATATATTTTTTAATATAAATTAAATTTATTAATATTATATATATATAATAATTATTTTTAATATTTATCGGGCCGGGTATCGGGTCGGGTATCGGGTAATCGGGTCGGGGATTACTAAACCCGTCCCCGTTTAGCATAAACGATTTTTCCCCGTCCCCGTCCCCGTTTAGCGTCCTCGAACCCGACCCGTTTAATTCGGTTTTCGGTTTTCCCCGTCGGGTTCGGATTTTTTTGCCACCCTACTAACCCTAAACTTCAATATATTAAATTAACTTTTAAAAGGTTTTAAAAACATTTGTTGATATATACTGCAACACTACTTGTGGAAAAATAGTAACATAAATAATAAGGTGTAGCTTTGAATTTCAATTTCAACCAATAACAATTTGGAAGCACCTATCGTGTGATAGCATGATTGAAAATTTATAACAAAAATTAAACAACTTTGAAATGAAAGCAGATTAAATATTCAATCTACACAGCAATGTTAAATTAAAAAAAAAAAACAATTGTCAAGATTAAATATTTAATTAATTATAAAAATTAAACACATTTATGGTCATACCACCCATTTTCAAAAATATATAGCTATCAGAATATTGGAGTCCCATGTCATCTTTCTTTCTTTCTTTTTTTGAAAGCATTGCCATATTTTTTTTGGCATAATATTAATATATTTTTAGCCGGTCAATTATATTGATGTGTATATATTATTAGAAATTTTCAACCGGATTCTTTTTGGGTATTTTTCAAGATTATTATATGCTGCCTTGGATCTTAGTTTGTATTCAAAAATAAAATTTAAAATTTAAGAAAAATATCAAGATTTATTAACTATTATAATTCCAAAATTTTATTTTTATATAATACGTAAATTAATCATAATACTAACAAATATTTATATGGAAGATTATTACATACTTACATATATTTAAATTTATTACTTTTACTATATTATAATAATAGTATTATTACTAAAAATAAGATTCACCTATTTAATAACAAAGTATTCATTACTATAAATAATACATTAGGTAAAATTAAAAATAATTAATGATACTCTTTAACCAAAGCCTATATTAATATCACTACGTACTCTACACGTGTTAAATGATCCTCGCGTTTTCTTTTGATCGCAAAAAGTATTAGATAGGAGAATTAGGCTATTTTTGTTTTAAGTTTCAATATTTTTAAATTTAAAATTTTTAATTTAAGAGTAAAGTACACAAATGATCTTATGGTTATAGGGTATTATTTTATTGAGTTATCCGATTATTAGAAGTTTAAAAAAATGATTCTTTGATTATAGGGTATTTTTTATTAAGTCTTTGACTATTAAAAGTTACAAAATAGTCACATAACTATTCATATGTTTTAATCTCGTTATTTTCTGTTAAAAATTTGATGACAGTCTAATATGAAAGTTAACGTACTAATTGTGATATGATAAAATTTGATGTTAAAATCTCAAACGACTATCATATCTCAGTTAACAAGTTAATGTCCAACATAAACTATCATCAATTTGTTTAATGAAAAATGACGAGTTTGAAATATATGAATAGTCGATCCTTTTATAACTTTTAATAGTCAATAGACTCAACAAAATAATGTCCTATAGTCAATGGATCATTTCGTAACTTTTAATAGTTGGAGATTTAACAAAGTAGTGCCCTATAATTGAAGGACTATTTATATACTTCACCCTTAATTTAATTCATTCAAAGTTTAAAATTGTTTCAATTTCATATATTCTTTTTGGCTTAATACAAAAAAAGTGCCTAAAGAATGTCTCGAAAAACGTTTTGGTGCCTAAAGAATTTTTTCGTTCAAAATAGGTGTCTAAAGTTTTTCCTGTTACAATTTTAGGTGCCTACAGTTTAAAAAACACGTTAAGTGACACGTGTCACACCCATATTTTTTAAAAATAAAATATTATTTGAAAATATTTTTGTAAATAAATATAGACATGATATGTGTCACTTAACAGTTCTTTTTAATAGTAGGTGCCTAAAGTGTAATGGATAAAACTTTAGGCACCTATTTTTAGCGAAAAATTCTTTATGCACCAAAAGTTAATTTTAGCTATAGTTTAGGCACTTATTTTTATATTAAGCCATTATTTTTATATAAATTTGAAGTGAATATAAGATAATATATATTCAAAAACTCTAAATTAATTAACAATGAATGATTATATTATTGTCGGTGTTTAAACTTAAAATATCTAAAGAAAATAAAAAAAACTATTAACTACTAAAATTATTTAATTCGTGCAATTAATCTTATACAACGACTAATGCAATAAATAATCGCGACCCTCGTCCCAAAAAAAAAAATACTATGCTTTTATATAATTGGTATATTATTATGGTGAAGTTATACACTTTGCTGCCGTACAAACTTCAGTTTTTGATTTGGCCCCTTTATTTTTTTTATCTTGTTTTATGTTGTGGATTTTTTTAATTTGATGGTGACATATCTAATTGAAAACCTAACTAATTTTGTTAACATATTCATGTCTTAATAAGTTTAAATTAATTATTCATAAAAATCATTACAATATTCATGTCTTAACTAATTTATATATATATTATAAAAAAATTCATAAACAATTTAATATTCTTTTTTTCTTTGGAATACAAAAACATAGTATATTTTTTATACTACAAGTATGAATTGTACATTGAAATATCATATCAATTAATCCGAAAAAATTAATGAAGAACATAAAGATATAATATAAAAAACATTTTATGGAGATTAATCCTAAATATTAAATGCAATAAAAAACATACTAAAAATAAAACTTGAATCAAACACATACAAAATAAATACTTAAAATAAAAAATTGAGTTATTTTTATTTTATAGGCATCATTTTGTTCCATAATAAATAAAATAAATTTATACTGATATAATTATGCATAGAAAAATAACCATTTTGAAATAGTTATATTATTCAAGAGGTATTCTTATCTAAGAGAAAGAATTATCTAATACATTAAAAAAATAAGGAAATATTATATTCTCAAAAGAAACTCAAAAGAGAACTACTATAGAAAATGCTTTATTAATCCCAGAAAGGAAGGTTCCTAAACCAAATGTAAATATGTATGAACAAATATTTTTTCTGATGACGATCTTTTTTACTAATTAAATCCCCCAAATGTAATTATTTCTCTATACATATGAATATAAAAACATAATCACCAAATGATTTAAATGTTTTAAAAAATTAGAATATAATAAAAATGATTTAATATAGAATTATTTATTTATTAAATAGATAATCGTAAGATAATATAGAATTTTAGATTTTTTTTAATCAATATATATATCGTATACATTTAATTGAACTTAAAACTTATAAAAAGAATAGTAATTTTTTGTTACTAAAAATTATTTAACGAGTTAAATAAAAATTATTATAAATAAATATATATAATACGATAGATTCATAAGTCAGTCATATTAGGTAATGCCCACTAGCTAGACCCCTTGTATTTATTTTATTTTAATCCCTAAATAACCACCGTCAGATTCAGCCGGGCGTCAACTGCCTTGACCTCAACACGACGCCCATCCCACGTGGCGTAATCCTCTCTTTCAAATTAACAGCAGTAGAAATGGGGGTGGGGGGGAATCTGCCATAATCCGACCCCGTTATCTTAAACGTCGTTCCGTCTCTCCCGTCCTTTTCTCCCCACTGTTTCACTCCTCGCTCCGGGCTACCTCACTCAGAACTTGCCACGTAGCGTTATGCATCAACTGTTACGTCATATCTCCCGCGAGAAAAACGGCTGGTCTTCGCTTACCCTTTCTCTCAATCTCTCTTTTCTAATAAGTTTTTTTTTCTGGGCCACCTTAAAAGCTAACCCCTTTGCCCTTTTTTGGAATTATTATTACTTAAGTTATACATCTTCTACTCTTACCGTAAATACTTCTTTTCTTGTTGAGAACTTGAAAAAGCTATATAACTACTCTTCTTCTTCTCTCTCTCCTTTTCTTATTTTAGTATTCTCCCTTTAATTTTCTGGTTTAGTCATGGAGAAGCATCACCGTCGAGAATTGACGTTCTTGCACTCAGGTGATTTCCTCCGACAGAATTCTGGTGTGCCCGATCGCAGCCTTGATGATTCTAGCGATCACGTTAAACCACGCATCAAGGAGATGGATTTCTTTTCTACTCAATATCAATCACACGATCATCATCAAGAGAGCAAGACCGATGATGATGATAATAATAATAATAATGGATCGTCTTTGTTTGTTGATTCGGGTGTAAACGTAAGGTTTTGGATCATTATCCCAACTATTTCTTTAATATTCTTCATATATATTCATTTAACCTATCTGGGATAATTTAGATATTTGGAAATTTGAGTTCACTCATCATTTACTTAATATTATGATGTTTCAGATTGGATTAAACCTTCTTAGTTCAAGCCCAGGAGTTTCAAGAGCAACAAATGAAGAGAAACCTGTTAACAGCAACGCTGAAGTAAGTTTTCTAAGGAGATTTTTTATTCTTAAGATGGAGCTATTTTTTTTAATTTCTGATTTTAAACTTGGTAAGAAAATTTGGGGGTTTTTTTTCTTCAGGAGGGTGCTCTTAAAATCGAGTTAGAAACGTTGAACGAAGAGAATCGGAGATTAAGAAGCACGTTGGATCAGATTACCAAAAACTACAATGAACTTCAAGGTCAACTATGCATGGCGCTCCAAAAAAAGGCTCACCGAAATCAAGAACAGGTTCGATTTATGTTTAAACATAACATATTTGATTACACCATAGTCTTCCATCATCAGTTTCCCAGGCTCTGATTCATGGTTTTTTTTAATGCATAAAAGAAATTGGTTAATGTGCTTCAATTGAATTGGAATCTTTTATTCAATATCTTATTGGTAATATCTCAGTTTCAACCTTTCTTAATATTATGCAAAGCGACATTGAAGTTTGGAAACTGTAAATAAATTAAAGCGAAAATTTCATTAAATTCATAAAGAAATCGATCCCCCTAATTTATATGATTCAGCATGTGCCACCAGTTGTCCTAGTAAACGAAAATAGAGTAAAAGGCTACGATAGTCGGCGTTAGCTCAACCTCTTTTGCCTATTTCGGCATATTTTCCGACCACTCGTGTGCACAGATAATTTATCTGTGTACTTTCATTTCAGATATTTAGATTATATCATAAATATATTTTTAGTTGTTTGATATTCATGGTGGTGATTGGTTAATGCTAATCAAACGAGTTGGTTTTCAAACAGAAGGATGCAGTAAATGGGATGCCAAGTACCATAATGTCTGTCCAACAATTCATGGACCCACGGCCATCGGCTCCATTAGATGTCAACGAACCTTCGGTGTCAGACGACAAGACTCAAGAACTGTCAGCAGCATCACAAGAAAACGCCATGGAAGTTGTCTCGAATGAACGCGACCATCGAATGGTTCAAAGTATGCCGGGAAAGCACGTTTCGATCGACGATGGTGGTACCGATCAATCATCTCAAAGCTGGGGGTCACTCAAGAGTCCAAAGCTAGATCAGTCCAAGAGTGAAGAACAAGGCTCTGAAGTCCCTTTTAGGAAGGCTAGGGTGTCTATTAGAGCAAGATCAGAAGCTCCCTTGGTGAGTAATACACCTATGTAGCACAATTCTTATTACATAAAATTTTATGTTAAAGAATACAAATTTAAATTTTTTAAGGATGACGGTCCGATCAACCCCTCGTTGCATCCCAGTTTATCTGTATCCTGACAGTACTAACAACTAATATTTCTTGGTTCAGATAAGTGATGGATGCCAATGGAGAAAATATGGTCAAAAAATGGCAAAGGGGAACCCTTGTCCTCGAGCCTACTACCGTTGCACCATGGCGGTCGGCTGCCCAGTCCGTAAGCAGGTGCAAAGATGTGCGGATGATAAAAGCGTTCTAATAACAACATACGAAGGGAACCACAATCACCCTCTTCCAGCAGTAGCCACAGCTATTGCTAACACGACGTCCGCCGCAGCAGCCATGTTGCTATCGGGTTCAACTAAAAGCAAGGACGGCCTACCAAGTTCTGCGTACTTCCCTTCCTTGCCTTACGCATCTTCGATGGCCACTCTCTCGGCCTCCGCCCCGTTTCCCACCATAACCCTTGACTTAACTCAGGGCCCGAACGCCGTCCCATTCTTACGCCAACCACCTTCCACAGCTTCGTTCCCTTTACCTTTGCACGGTTATCCGCAGCTTTTAGGGAACACCATGTTCGCTCCTCCCAAGGTACCTTCATCACCGACAATGCAGTTAGGGCAACGCTCAGCTTCCATGGTGGAAACAGTCACTGCAGCCATTACCTCCGATCCGAACTTCACCGCAGCACTAGCAGCAGCGATTTCGACCATTATGGGAGCGCCACCGGGAAACAACGGAAACAGTAAAGTCAACAACGATGAAAACAACAATTCCTCCAATGGGGTACCTGCGCCTGCCCTTGCAGCACCGGGATCACCGCAGGCTCAACAGTCATGCACCACTTTCTCCACCAAGGCATGCAGTAACAAGCCAGGCTGATTACTTTCATTTTAGGGTCTTGCTTGAGCCATGCTCAGGATAATGGTTACTCCCCCCCCCCTTTCTCTTTTGCACAACCTTTTGCTAATGCTGGGTATAATTAATTAGGCCGTTGGAGAGGAAGAAGTCCCCCATGCATCTCTTTTATGATCGTATAGAAGAATTTTCATACAAACAGTCTATTGATGGTTGGTGAGTGGGTCAATCGGCCTTACAGTTTCAATATTTTCCCATGCTAATAGCTTTAAGAAAAGGTTTTCAGATACTTACATATAAAATAGATAATTATTACTGTAGAGAATATAATTATATATGTTGTTAAGAATAGCGAAAGCTTAGAGTGGGGTGTAAGAATGAATTGGTGGATAAACATTTCAAGTATTTGTTTGTGTTGGGGATTATTCTGAATTTTTGACATTAATTAAATAACTTTTATGCTATGAAGAGATTACATATGTACAGTGGATTAGTACTTTGCAGAATCTTATATGGCAAGTAATATTAATAAATTAGATTCCTATGTTTTTGTTTGAAGTACGGTCCAGAGAAAAACTGAAGTTATATCTGACCTACGCTTAGTAGATATGTACGGAATGTGACTATCATTCATTAAGATCATCGATGATGTGTGATATGTATAGATTGTGATTCTCATTCATTGAGATTATAGATGATGTGGTGAATCGAGTCCAAAAATTAATTTCTCAATATGAGAAACTAGTGGAGTGAATATTATTTTACCCTTAACTTACATAGATGAATATAGATTATATAGGCGATGAAAAAGGGATGATGATAAAAATTAAATTTATTATAGACGATGGAATATATGTGAGTATGATTATATTATCTTTATTTGTCTCGTATCATCATTTGTGTGTGGTATTATATGAAAATTTTATTTTTTTAAATATTTTAAACTCTATTAAAATTATATTTCTACTTTTGTAATCATTTAATTTTTTTAAAAAAATTATGACAATTAAAAAATAGTACATACGTAATGAGAGTTTGAAACACATGCATTCCATATTTTTCTATTAAAATATTATTTATATTTAATCAATTAATACTTATAAATTTATTATAAGAAATGAGTGACAACGTAATACAACGAAGATTAGAAAAATCCTAAGAGAAATAAATAGTTGGACGAGAATAATTTTAATCTTAAAAGTTATAAGAGAAGGTTGATTTTAGATTATCAACGTACAACATATCGTTGGTTGAAGATAAACTTTTTTGAAGGAGATAAACGTGGGAGGAGTATCCCACACCTGCTACACCTAATTGACATTCCTAACCTTGTATTACTATTAGTTTTCAATAAATTATTATTATTTAAATATAAATAACCCTTTACCTAAATCTCCACTTCGCTTACAATATTGAATCAACCTATGCTACATGTCATTAAAGGTATTAATGCCAATATTAGATTTTGTCACACCAAGATATCAATCAACGAAAATATTTTAACAAAAATATACATTTTAGAAAATCTAATGAATAAATAAACTTATTGATTAGTCTAAAATTTTTTTTTTTGAATAATTGTATTTGTAGAGTACGTATGTTATCGATAAATTATCCTTTAAATAAATATTATTTTATATTTATCTTAAATTATTTTTAAAAAATAATTAAATGAAAAAAAACTATAGTTAGAAGGATTGCTTTAAAATACATATCTTTTTTATTATTTTAATTATCTTAGAGTTGAGAAGGAATGAAATGACAAGCTTGACCTGTTAGCTTAAAAGAATCAAATCTAAAAAATATCAAGCTGATGGTACAGGCCCATTGGATAGGCCCAACCCAAAGCATATAACACATTTATTTTATTCATTTTACATGCCTTCTTTAATCAAATTTTCTACACCTCTCATCAGTCATCTCCTTCGTTCTTCCCCCATCTCCTTTATAGATAAGCTTCCTTTAAGCTTACAAGTTACCACATTTCTTAACCTTTGTCAAAGATCGAGGATACTTTTGCAAGCAATTAGGTAAGGCATTTGCATTTACAATATAAAATTTCAAGAAAATTATTATATTCTTTGTTTTTCATTTTGGGGGTTCGTCGTGAAATATTCTTCAAGTGTGATGTTAAGACGAAAGGGAAGAGAAGTTGAGATTGTTGGAATGAAAAAAAGGGAGGCTAAGCGAGTCTTGCTCATATTTATTTTTTAATTATTTTATATTCGATTTATATTTTTATAATTTTTTAATATCATATTCATTTATTTATTTTAAAAATGGTTAGTGTTTGTTTATTGAATATTTATAAAAATATTCCTAAACATATTCATTTAACTTTAGTTTAATATTTAACAATCAACTCTCTGTCTTATTATTTTTCTTTGTAAGTCAAAGAAAAATGATGAAATTATGTCGTAATCCTTAAATTCATTAGGGTTCACAGTTTTAATTATTAAAAATATAAAAAATAAGAGCTATATAAAAAGTCGACAAACGAATTTATTTATGAAAATAAATGAATTAAACATTATTTTTATTTGAGGTTATTCATTTATTAAATGAATATAGATATTTTTATATACTTAATTTTAACTTAATAAATAAATAATCCATGTTGAATGACACTTTAATTGTTGAGTAATAGCTTTGGTGGGAAGAAAAAGTATGGAAAATCATTATTACCAATTTTAATTTGTTTTAGACGATTTGTTGACGTAAGTTCGATTTGAAATTCATTTCCTTTGATTTTAGGTTAGTTGATGAGGAAGAAAATTCATCCAAGGCAAAGTTGGGCAAGACACATTTTACTTGGATTTTTTTTTGAACTTGGGAAAATTCATGATTTTACCACGCTTGGAAGGAATTCGATTTGCCACGCTTTTAGGTTCGCCTTTGGACACGTACTAGAATTAACCCAGCATCGCTTGGAGTTTTAATTATTACTAGTATTTTTAATTTAATTAATTATAAATTCCATCACCGAAAATTTCAGCCTCACAAAAAATTCAGAAATGCAAGGCGATGAAGCCAGACTCTTGCTAGGCTTCCCCCCGGATTCTCGCCCTACTCCTTCTCAGGTTTTTATTTTCACTATTAAATCTTTGATTATTTTAGGGTTTTTTTAATATCTTTTTTTTGTTGACTTGGGTTGACGTTTATGAATTGGAGTTGTTTTCCTTTTGGAGATTGTGGCCTTGATTGCTTTATTTCAATCAGCTAGTCTTACAAAGTTCCTCAATTTTTTCTCTTTTCCTTTATGAATTTGTAACATTGATTAATTTCTTTTATGAATTTGGAATTTAGATTAAAGCGGCTTATAGAAAGAAAGTATGGGAGTCGCATCCTGACTTGTTTCCAGTTCACCAAAAGCCTTCGGCGGAGTCTAAGTTCAAGTTGGTAAGCATCCATATGCCTTCAAACATTTCACCTCTTTTTAGTATATTAGTGATGCGTTTGGTAGGGAACCGTGAAGTTGGAGCGTATTGAGACAAGTTTAAGCATTTTAGAGCTTGATATGGACAAAGAAAGCATTTCTTCATTGTAAAGAGTTAGAGATTAGATTACAGCAATTTAGTGACTGCCAGTAGAATAATTCTACGCTTTCTATGATCTATTACTTGGGGAGTCTTTGTTGATTCTTCTTTTCTATTAAAATTATTTGGAGGGAGGGAGCTGGATTGCTTAGTGGTATGTATTGTATTTTGGTTAAATTCATGGTGATTTATAGTGGTATGATCTGGTGAGTAATTAAATCTATTTGTATTTTCTTTTCTTTCTTGAGTTTTTTTGGATTTATATAACTGTTGAAACTGTTAAGTCTAACTGTGGATTTGGGAGAGAAATTGAATTTTGCCTGATAAAGGCTAGGTTTAGTCTTTCTAAATAGTAGTTTCACTTTCAAAGAAATCCATCATTGTGGACTGACGTTTTAAGCCATTTACTATCTAAATTATGGTACTTCTGGAGGTTGCCATTCTGGACGAGAGCCAACATACTGGAAAACAAGTAACGAATGCAGTAAGAATAATGTCTTTCCACTTAGTTTAGTTTGCCATATCGCACCTGAACCTTAAAACTTTTTTTTTCTTCTAGGAACACTTGAATGAGATAATAGTCGGATATTTTTAATCATGTATTCTGCAATTTAGAAATAATTCAGTTGCGTTTATGGATGTGAGAAGTCTAACCTTTACATGTGCATATTTTGCAGATTGCAGAAGCTTATGCATGTCTACAGTCTGGTAATTCTCCTACCTTCATATGCTTTTGAGATAATATTAGGAGTGTTCCGAGAAATTATGGCTTGCAAAATCTCTTGAATAGACCAGTTTCCAGTTTAACATGGGAAGAAATCTCTTGTTTAATGTTCTCCAAAGGTAGCACATTTTGTGGAGAGATAATAGGTTGTTGTCTGAACTTAGAAAACTATAGATCATATGTCCATGCCTCTCTATGCTGTCTCTTTGGCTGCTAAACTCGCTTTGACTTGTGTATGTATCTCTTCTGGTGTTTCTTGGAGATTCTTAAAAAATATTCTATTTGCGTTGCACGCCTTGTTCTCCCGACTTACCTATTACTAAGTGTTGATAACTACCTCAGGCTTGCTTTATAGACTTGTGCAATGATTTTAGCAATAAAAGTAAACAACCTGGATCTCTGAGGGATATTACGGGTTACTGTTTCATCACTAGCTTCATGGTGGCAACAAAGTGGAATAAGTTGCTTAGAGCTACCATGAATTGCCATAAACATACTAAGCTAGAGATTCTCATGATTTGAATGTGAGCATACCTGGACTGCATTTGATCAGGTTCACAGCGAAAGACATAGCTTTTTGTCCCAGAAGAGATTGACAGAATGTCAACTGTGAAAGGAGCAAAAGTTGGTTTCCTTTGACCTTTCCCTGTTAGGAAGTGTTTAGATGACCAGCTTGCTGGGCCCGAGAAGCAGGACATGCTAGAAGATGAGGTAACTTTCATTCCAATTGAATTGTGTTCATTAAGCTTAGTCTTAAGAAATATGTAATTTGATTTGAAAAAATTCCAAATTTTAGTGCTATTCATGAATCATTTTCCTGATTTAGGAGATCATTATATAATGATGTTGAAATTTTTTTTGGAGATGATTTGGATGAACATGACCATGAAGAAAAGAAACCTAGAGAAATTATCACATTAGCTACTTCGATTGAACTATTGGATGTTTATTCCTGCTAGCAGAGGTGTCACCACTGATGATAATCTTTATTTTCTTGATAATGGTTCGGCATACTAGTTTCTCTTTCATGTCGCTCATTAAACCTGTAGTAAGCAATGAAATATCTATTTCCACTGGGTATTGATGGAAAGGAAAAAGTAATTTGATGTTGTCAAATACCAATATTAGATTATAGTTTGCTGTGCCATATATGATTATGAAAGTATTACCATGTCACTGAGATTATTTCAATTTTAATTCTCTTTCATGCCAATTCTTTAGTAGGTGAGCACATGTTTCTGCATCAATCACCAGATTGGGCACTATCCAGCTCATACCCTCTTCCTTCTTTTAATTTATGTGCCCATTTTTATTTTCCATCTTCTGTTACATGATTTGCTGGCGTTTATGGATTTACTTCATTTAAAATTGTGAATCTTGATGATGGTTCCCAGCTCTTTTCTTCATTTACTTTTATAAATTAGTCATTTGTTATCGACTTATCATAAATTCTCATTCCCACTAGATGGGAATGGATCTAGTAGTTCAGTACACGTCTGCACCTATGATTACAGTTGGTTGTATCTAACCTATATTCTCTTTGTATCCTCAATAAACACCTTGTTCTATTATTTGATAGGTTGTTGCCATCTACATCTTTTATGTGGTTTGTTAAACTGGTTTTATCCTGGATCCTAGGATTCCACTAAATGGGATTGAATCTAATGATCGAATGGCCAGAAAATGGTTAAAAATTAGTCACTTTGATGTAGGTGCCAATATTCTTGGACATAACTTATGGAAATGAGTTTGCAAACCTGATTCCGAATGCTTCTGTCTTGTTACTAAGTACATTAATGTGTACAATTCCATTTACATGCTATTCAAATTCATCTTAATGATTGTCACAGGTTCAGGAGGAGGAGGTTAATTTCTTGTTCAAAAGCATTGGAAACTAGATTTTATTTCTTTGCTCTGCTAGTTAGACATTGTCTTTCTTCTCTAGCTACATATTCGCATGTTGTGAGAATGAGAGTACCGAAGGCTCATGGGGGAAGAAAAAATCGTGCTTTGATTCAGATTCCTTTCCTCCTTATAGTTCTGGGAAGTGTTGGCCTCGGGGGACTAAACGCCACCAGGTAACCAACAGCATGACGAAGAATGGTTTTCTTTTGGTGGCTGAATACCACATTTTGTTAGTCTAAATAGTCGGTTTATTCTTCTTGTCAGGGCTTATAGAAAGCAAAAAGAGGCATGCCCTTCTCACAACCCATTCCTCCCCTGAAACAAGACCTCGAACTGGGGAATTATACTGTTCTTTCATTTTTTGTATCAATATGGAAGGAAGTTTCAATTTACATGAGCCTTGTTTATCGGAATCAAACGAATTTGGGTAATATCATTATACCTTTGACCTTAATCTGTTTAAATGTTTGGTTAAGTGTAATAAGCATGCATTGAATCACTTGCACAATTGGGCACGTTGATTCATTTGGTTTACAAGCATATTCATTTGAATCCTCCCCTGCTGCATGAACATTAATGATTTGGGTTAAATCTGTTTTACGAGATTCCAGTTTTGATCTTTTTCTCATGATTCTTTTTTATTAGTTACTGAAATTGGTTCCCAGAATATGAAAGCATAGCAAAAACATACATTACCATAAACAACGTTTGAAGAGACAAAGAGAGGATGTAGAACTAGGAGACGGTAATGACAAAAAAAGATCTAGGGAGAAAGAAAAAATATCTTATTATAATATTGATTAGTTTTAATATTATATTTGTCTCACTAAAAATGTATCTTATTGATTTTTTAAAGCTCAAATTTTTTAAATTTTGATCATGATTATTTTAAATATTTTAAAAAATTAAATCTTATTAAATATATATTTTAAAAAATTAAATCTTATTAAATATATATTTTAATATTAATTTATTAAAGATTTATAAAATATATTTTTCATGTTTTATAAATAATAAATTTTAAATAATAATAACTCAATGTTAAAAAAAATTTAATGGAAAAAATATTAATAAGGGATTAATATAAGTGGAACAAACAGAATATATATGTTGAATATTATTTATTTAAGGGTAAATTTATATCTTTATGGTTATTAAATTCTGTCTTCTTATGATTCTTTTGATTATTAGGATTAAATTTAAGATTAATAAAAAATGTCAACTAATTTTATATATTTAAATATTTTTTTATTGTTATCGAGTTTTAAGGTTTTGTTTTGATTAATCTGAATTGATTTAGAAATCACACCTAATTTTGGTGAGTGAACTTTCCAATGAAGATTTTTTGCATACATAATAATTCAAATCTTAAATTTGATTTAAACGATATCAAACTGTTTACTAATTAAATCGATCAACGTTGATAAATAACCTTGGATTGTAATCATTTTTCCACTACCTTTTTGGTAGGTGTTTCTGCACGTATAATAAATTTACTATTGTATACCCTTTGTTCTCTTTTATGAAATTTGATTTCCACGTTTGTCTCAATTTTTTTATGTGGAAAGTTGAGGAGGATTACGGAACTATTTTTAAAAGGTTTTCTATGATAATTTTCGATTTGAATGAATATTTCATTAGTTATTGAAATAACTAAATAAATACACGACTCATTTTTCTTATTTAGTCATCAATCTAAAGTTCAACAAAGCCTATTTTGTACAATCAAGAGGGCAAACAAACCTATTTACATGCTTTGTTTTGTTAAAATAAGCAATTTAATACCCAAAAAAATGATAATTGAGCGATCAGTGTAATCTTCTACGCAAAAGATAATATGAAAAAAAGGATTAGCTTATGTAAAATTAAAATAGAAAGGTTGAATTCTAAACTTGAGAAACGTTAAGGGATCAAATTTAGATGTTAACCTTTGGATCCCAAATTTTAATTCTTGACCTTTTAACATCTATCGTGTGATGATATCGTCCACGAAGCCGCTGCTTCTCGAAATCTCAGAGCCAGCATCGATTGAGGGAGGCTTCACTTTCACAAAGGCATCTCCCCCCCCCCCAGGTTAGCTATTTGTTCGTTTTCATTTCAAATGATTTGAGATTCATTTAGCTTTTTGTTCTTTTGGGTACGAATAATCTAGATTATTGAGGCTGAAACTTTGGTTTGTAAGGTGGTTCGGTTCCTCCATCTTTTCTGCGCTTTTTAAAACTTCTAAGAAACATGTCATTATATTCTTCTGCTCGCTTTTGCTCTTCCAAATTCCCAATCTGTTTCCATCTGCCAAAACCCTCAAAATTTCCATTTTTTTCCAACAGATCCATCTCTTTCCAAAAGGTCCCTACTAAATCCCCACCTACGCTTCAATCTAGCTCCACCCAGCTCCTACCCATGGAAGAATTCCCCCCTAAGCTCCAAGAAATCATCAAGCTTTTCCAATCAGTCGAAGAACCCAAGGCCAAGTACGAGCAGCTGATGTTTTATGGCAAAAACTTGAATACCCTCGATGCCCAGTTCAAAACTAAGGAGAACAAAGTCGAGGGCTGTGTTTCTCAGGTCTGGGTCAGGGCTTATCTGGACGAAGACAAGAATGTTTTCTATCAAGCTGATTCTGATTCTGTTTTAACCAAAGGACTGGCTGCTTTGCTTGTTAATGGACTGTCCGGAAGGCCTGCCAAGGAAATTTTGAGGGTTTCTCCTGATTTTGCAGTGCTTCTCGGGCTGCAACAGAGCTTAACACCTTCAAGGAATAATGGGTTTTTGAACATGTTGAAGTTGATGCAAAGGAAGGCACTTGAGTTGCTTATTGAAGCTGAGAAGGGTTATGGATCTTCGGGTAATGGTCAGATTGTGAATGATGACGGTGAAAAATCTGTTGAGAACTCAAATTCGGATTCAAAAGTCGATGAGAACTCAGGTGTTGGATTTGATTCTCGAAAAAGTAGCGAAGATAGTTGGAGTGGTTTGGGAGGTAGAGGAATGAGAATCAAGGAGAAGCTGGAGAGGGAACTTAGTCCAGTTGAATTGGAAGTGGAGGATGTTTCTTATCAGCACGCTGGACATGCTGGTGTGAGGGGAAGTGATGGGGAAACACATTTTAATGTCAGGATTGTGTCCAAGGAATTTGAAGGCAAGAGCTTGGTGAAAAGGCATAGGTTAATTTATGGTTTGTTGGATGAGGAGTTGCAGACTGGATTGCACGCCTTGTCTATAGTGGCAAAGACACCATCTGAAGTCGAAGCAAATTGAAGAGATGTCCCATGACTAGAGAAAAAATTAGGTTCTTTTTTTTATATGCATTTTGACATGCTTTTACTTTGGAAGTTTTCCACAGGTGCTTGATTGAGAAATGGGATTATTGCATCTTGGATTTTTGACAATGCATTAACTAGTCTCATGTTGGTTGATTTCAACGATGTACCCGATAAAGATGTTTCTATATTCACGGTATATTTCTTTCTTAACTCGGTGATGTCTTGTAATCCAAGCAATCGGAGGGGACAAAATATTGTGGTGAAACAAAATGATTGAATAAGGTGTATCATGATTGCCACAGTAATTTGAGGCTGTTGGTATTTTTTTAAAAATGTGTTGATTGCAAGGTAAATTTTGGAAAACGTGTTGACTGTAAGACTACTTCCCCATGCTACCTACATTTAAGTGGCAGCCGTGCAATTCACAAGTAGAAATTCCAAAAAATCCGATGCTTTCTAGAAATAATCTAGTCCTTATAAGATCCTCGCTATAGTAATCAGCTTAGATCATAAGATAATTTTCGGGGCACAATATTCAAGCAATTTTGCCGATCAGAGGGGAATAACCATTTCTAGTAAATGAAAAAAGAAAACCATTTATGAAACGAATGAAGGTTAAGATTACATAAAAAATACATGTCGGAAGACCATTAACGTACATGCAAGGAGAAAAAAGAATAACTCACGTTATGAACAAATCGAATACAGATCATATAAGATCGATACATGTAGAATTTCCAATAAAGCAAACTATCACCATCTAATTGTGCCCTCATTGTATACTTTGGGTGGTTGAATGTGTGAAGACTACCGCACGCACAGGCAAATAGAGATACAACGGATGAGGGAGGGAGTGCGTGTATGATATATGTGAGAGAGGGAGACGTATGAAATTATGTGCTTGGTGTTTTGGCACCCGGTCCTGGCCGGGCATTTAGCAGGGGCTGAAGAGCTTTGATAACTATGCTCATATTTGGCCGAAAATCAGCTTCATATTGCACACACAATGCAGCAACAGCAGCCATCTGCGATCAAACAATAAAATGCTTTTAGGCACATATGACATTTGACATTTAGTGAGGGCAGCAACCCCGGAAAGTTAAGATGTTAAGGTTCTAAAACAATGGTGTATCTATGCAAGTAAAATGTATTTGAACAGATGCAACTTCCAAATTTTAGTCACTTGAAGACATGTTAACAGAGAAAATGTGCAAATAAAGAGAGAATACCAGGAGCAACCAATCATAATAATACCTTGGCAACAGCCTTGGGAGGATAATCTCCTCCTAGTCTTTGATCAACACACTGCCTAACCTTGTCTTCACTGAGTCTCGGCGTAGCCAAACATAATTCAAAACTCTCTTGGTCATCATGTCTGGAAAGTTTGAGAATGGAAGTCGGGTCGGATATTAGAAAATAAGGAGCAGAAAAATGTACCCATGTAACGAGACTTTGCTGTCCACGGGGTAAAGTATGACCAACAGGTTTTCTCCCAGTCAAAAGTTCAAGCAGAACGACACCAAAGCTGTATACATCACTCTTGGCATTTAATTGCCCAGTCATTGCTTATCTGCCAATCACGAGAGTCATTTCCAAGGCATTTAATTGTCCGGTCATGAAATATCTCATTAATGAAATGAGAAATTAAGCTAGCTTTGGTTCCATCAAGCAATTCATGATTGATTTGCAAAATATCATGCTACAAGATTTTTACAAACTGTCTTAAACCACTTCTTATCAGAAACAAAAAAATATAATAGATGTTAGCACGAAAAGAATCCACAATTACTTACTCAGAAGCATGATAACCAAAGGTTCCAAGTACACGAGTGGAATGAAGACAGGCTACCATATCAGGAGCCTAATTTGATAAATCAAAGTCCGCAATCTTTGCCACATCATCATCAAATATTAGCACATTGATGGACTTATGTCACGATGAATGATGTGAGGATTAGCCTTCTCGTGCAAGTATTCAAGCCCTCTTGCAGATCCTACATCAATTTTTACTATTTGTGCCGATGTCAGAACAGGGCCATGCTGAGGTCCCTTAACACTTTTCTCCCTACATTAAAGGAATCATAATGTTCTCTTCTCAAAAAACAAAAAAAAGGAATGATAATATAACCAAATAAATACTTTGCATCCATTTCTATAACAGCATTACAAATAGATCTATGCTTCAGG